ACAGACAACCTCTCGTCAATATGCGTTTTTCGCATTGCATTGCTGCAAAAAACGCATAAAAAACAGGGTGTTGCTTTTAATTTACAGATAGTGAATTTCAGTTGTACATCTTATAATGCTCACTGTTTCTGTAAAAATATTTACACAGTGTTGTATAGTTCTATGAAAATCAGAACTCATTTCTCGGATCTCATCTTAAAATGGTTATTTCTTTTCAAAAACAGCTGGTCGTGTCCACGCAACAACGCATCCACTTCTTCGCAAAAAAAAATATAATCCAGCTTACATACTCATTTTTGTAACATTTTTCAGTTAAAACGGCGCTCCTTTTTTTACTCATTCACACTCTCATTTCCCGCGCAAGATATCAGCTGAAAGCGCAAGAAAATACGATGACATGAAAAAAGCGTTAGCGCTTCCTTCTCATCCAAGAGCCTGGAGAAGCGTCTGTTCTCAACAAAATTCCATAGCTTAGAGCCCATCTCCAGGACAAAACATTCAGCAAAATATGCGCCGATCTTATTTCACCCTACGATTATAAATGGTGAAAAAAAAATGTTCTTGTTTTTAAATTATCCGAAGAGGGGGACGGAAATTCAAATACATATAGTCGTTGATGGAATAATGTGAAAACCTGTACCTGATAGATGACCATGTGCGCATATATTGTCGGTGCTTTGGCAGCAACAATTAGTACGAGCAAGACGATTGCAAATATGTGTGGCGCATATCTTAAATTTATTCCTTCAGAAACAAAAAACTTCAAAAATGTTCAAACTTTTGACACTTTAAAGCGTTTGTAGCACCGGATGTGCCCAGGATTTTCACTCAATATTTTCCCAATTTTTTACGCAACAGCTGACAAGAACATACCCGTCACAGCATAATCTGGCTTGTGGCAGTTTAGGCGAACTTCGACGTCGATACTCAGAATACTCACTTTGTGCACCATTTATGCTACTCGCCTGGCTTCGAGAGGCACTTTTTTGCCGCACATTCATCAAATTAATCTGCAAGCAAAGAACCGTTAAATAAAAATAAATTTTTCTTTAGAAAAAAAATGAAGGGTTAAGGGTGGGAGCTTTAGAAAGACATTTTTTCAAAATAAACAAGAGCTGGCATCTTATCCAATAGGCAAGTGTTAAAAATATCGAAAAAAATATCAGTTCAATGAATTTATGAGTTCTAAATCACTAGCTCAATGCTGTATCCATTCAGCAGGAGAAAGGGAATGTGGGAGGCTGAAGGTGCGGATAGGCGTAAAGGATGAGGACAGCAAGAGAAAAGGAAGAGGGCAATTTATCTTCTAGTAATTGAAAAACTGCACTTTTACGGGACGAAAAAACTATACTGAACGGCGTAAAATCTATATAAAAGACCAAAAACTCAACTGAAAAGGTAGAAGATAAATAGTAAAGTGAAATTATATTAAAAAGCGAAAGCTAACATTAAACGATAAAGTTACTGCCTACCTGTAGCATATGGGAATAAACATAAGGAAAGGGGTGTGATTTCTGGTCTAGAGGAGCCAAATTCAGGACAGGTTCCACTCTTGAAAACAAGATAGGTTGTTAGACATGAAAATTTCGAAAGAGATGGTGACACTTCTAAAATGAGGATGCTGGAAGTTGCAACTGGCCAAAGAATAGTTGAATGCATCGAATAACTTTTATACTACTGGAAATTTTGATTTTGCTTCACTATCATAAGAGATAAAGATATAACTTACGAAGTATTTATTATAACCATACATGTACAGTGCGATTGGCGCAGTATTCATAAGAACAATTGTTGTAACATAAGTGGCAATGATAGCGGATGGATGGTAAATTTTTAGTGGGCGTGATGAGATCAGGTATTGTCCTGAAAAAATTGTAACGCCCAATGCTTCACAAACTTCACACAACACCGAACGAATTTTTTAGTAACGCCTATCACAAATCGAGTCAGAACTAACATTCCCTTGCTAGCTTAATCGTTTTAGCAGTAAAATTTAGTCGCCACTTAAATGTTCGAAACTCACTGCAATATAGAGTGAGACAATTAACGCATATCAGGGTAGCCGCAGCGGACATGCACTTTGCCCAATTCTGTTTGGAAAACTAGAAAGATCCCAACAATTTTTTGCCAAAACTTTCATGTGTTCATAGGTGGGCAATGCTTTTAAGCACCATGGCAAAATTTTAGCTCTCCATCTTATATGATCAATAACTTAGGAAATTTTTGGCCGAAAATTTCATGTGATCGTGCGTGAAACGTAGACTGTATTTAAATTTCCAGGATCGCACATGAACGTGAAACATCTTCGTAAAATTTCTCTCTTGCTTGCTTTCCGAGTCAGCAAATTTCCCGCTAAAACTATCACGTCTCTAACACACAAACAAAAAAGCAAGATCAACAAACCGAGACCAACGGGCCGAACACTGGCATAATTTGTTTCCTGGATGCGATAAAGAACACTGAAGCCAAGATAAGACCAAATAACTGTCGCTGAATAAATCAACAAATGGAGCGAAAATATAAAACCGAACGGTTTACTGGTTTGCCAGAAGACCGCAGAATACGCACAAGTATAGGCGAATAGTGCAATCAACAGATTCACGAATTCCAGCGGTATGCCAAAGAGGCGCACATGCATCAGTACTAAACACATTATCAGTTACTCATTAACATGTCATGGGTCAACCTTCTTGCTCTTAATTCAACAAAAATAATTATCTGCTTTCCAGGCACTTTTTGCAAGCCAGTATGGTAGCTCTCTGTCTGAGTTTGCCATTTTCCTTTTTATGCGTTTTTTGCAGCTATGCAATGCAAAAAACGCATATTGACGAGAGGTTGTCT